CCCCACCCCCCCCCAAAAAAAAAAAAAACCGACCTGGTTTTTTCCGATAAAAGAGCGACGACTCCAAAGAGGAAAAACATGAGCAGCATCCCTCCATGCTCGAAATCATTCATATGGCTCGGATTCAGCACTCCATCTTCCCCCACGAACCACTTCAAATGGGTCGAATACAACAACTCGATACACATATCCACAAAAGCTCCGGCCGTTATGACATAAAGTTCCAGGTATTTAAGCCGACCCGATCCGACTGGGTTCCACACCCGAACCCGGAAAGAACCCGGATCCGACACGTACCGCTTCGCCGAGCTCCAGATGTGCCATAGCCCGACGATCAAGAAAAGGCTCCCCGGGAGCACGTGGCCGTTGAAGGATCCCATGAGCTGGCCTCGGATTTTGGGTTATTTACGGAAAAGGGACTGGCTCTTCTTCGTTCTTTCTATCTATCCTGGTTTCTGCTTTTGGTCTCCGCGGAACCGAGGCGGCGATGGAATTAGGACCAAGATTTGTTTCTAGAAATCTTTTTGGGTCGGAAAATTGCGGTTTGCACCCCCCGCAGAGTTTGTGAGTGGTGAGATTTTGGGCGTCTTGAGGGAGTGGAGACAATATACACTGGGTTTTTAAGGTGATTTCTGAGAAGCCGCGGGTCTTCGTGTGACGTGGTATGGGATGCGTCTGTCACGTGTTTTCCGAATTTCGATCCACTTATGTGTGCATTTTGTAATATTGTATTTACAATGGGTAATACATTTTTCCCATGGAAAATTAAGAGATTTTATTAATTAAGAAACTGCACTGCTATAATCAGTAAGAAAAAAATGCACAAAATCATCAGGTGCTTCTTCCATCCATACAATCATATTAGAGAGATTTAAAGCTTTTTTAGCCAAGACGTGAGCAAATTTTTTAGAACTCCTAGGTACGTGTTGAACCTCGAAATGTTGCAATCTCTGACCCGACCTTTTAATGTCTGCACAAATTCCCTCAAGCTCTGATAACTCCCTATCTGAGTACTTGATCACATTAACCACTACTGAATTGTCCTTTTCAAGAACCATCTTTGAAAGTCCAATATCAAGAGCAAAAGCTAGCGCATCCCTTGTAGCGAGAGCCTCACATACTACAACCCCAGCAGCACTTGTATTGCCTTTTGAAAATCTGGCCATGAAACAACCATTCACATCCTTCACTATACATCCCAAGCCTCGAATACATTGGGTTTACTGTCAAGGAATGAACATGTCCTCTAGCTTCAGTATTTGCTATAAACGACTCTGTGTATTGTTGGATATTTTGTTGGAGATAAGACAAATTTACCTTCATGAATAGTCCCACATGGACTAGTGTTATGAATACAATTAAAACGTGCGTAACGGCTATACATTATGGGGAACGTTGCGGAATTTATGACGAACGTTATCATATTAATTGTAGGAATTATAATGACTTTCTCAATCCTATATATACACCCCTTATTCACTTTTGGAAAAGATATATAGAAAAAATTCTCTCCTTTTCCTCTTCTCTCCCATGCATATTATTTTTGTTCATATGTTGGTGTTATTATTGGGCAATCGTTCTTTGACTGAGCTGAAGCTCTATTCTCTCGCCCGAGTACAGAGACCGACCGTTTTCGGGGGGTTTTACCGCTAGGAAAGAAAGGATCATCTACGCCATGGTGATAAGCGGGTCCTTAATCTTCTAGGTCAGTGTTTACATGACTGCTCCTGATCAGGCCAAACTTTCTTATTATTTTATTTTGGATTTATTTTATATGCTATAACCTTCAATTTGATAAATTTCCAATATTCTAGAAGATTGATTAGTTTATAGATATTGTTTTAAATCCGAAATTATTATTAAAAAAATAAATTAAAAAATTTACTGTATATCAAAGTTATTATTCACCTGTTTTAATTCCTGTTAGCAACGTCACCGTTTAAAAAAACAGTTTTGGTTACTGTTTATTTTATATTAAAATCGTTACTGTTCATTTAAAAAACAGTTTCGGTTATTGTTCATTTTTTAAAAAAATATATTTTTACTGTTTACATAGAACACTATTCATCAGAGAATTATTTTTCTTGTTCATAAAAATGCAATTACTGTTCATTCTAGGAATATACGGTTTCTGTAACTGTTTTCTTGCTTTATTTTAATTGATGTAATTAATTATAATTAATTAATGTCACTGTAGCAATCAAGTATTCATGATAGTTACTGTAGCAAATTACCGTGCCATTTATAAATAGTAAAAGTGTAAGTATTGTTCATAGTTACTGATACTATTTTACAATTACTGTTTACCTATTTATTGTTAATAATCACTATTCACATATACTGTTAAGGAACTAGAAATCATTAAGTGAACCAGTTTAAGTTTTCTTGGATTAGTTGGTGTCTAAGGCAATGTTTAGGGATAGCGTAACGCGCTCCGTAAGGAAAGAGATACTTAATTGATCTTTGATCATTCTCTAGTACTATCCTTACCTGACTAAACTACCCGGGTAAAACTTTGATCTTTTCACTTTAGGATTTTTTGGTTAGGAGCTGATCTAGTTAAGTTTCTGTTCTAGTGGTATTGACAGAAACCTTTTCATTTATAGCTTTTGTTTTACAATCATATGTAATATTATTAATTTATTACAAATCACTTGATATAGGTTTTCCATATAAATAGAGCTTATACGTCATATGCTTTTGTGATTGTATTTATTTGATAATTGTTATAATTCCATATGAAATATTTTATATTCAAGCATGAATAAGAGGATCGGAATTATGAGAATAATTCATATGCATAAATTTAAATTTGGAAAGTCTCTTTTGTAGGCAACCAATTTAAATTTAGAAGGTCTCTTTTGTAGGAAACCAATTTAAATTTGGAAGGTCTCCTTTGTAGGCAACAAATTTGCAACCTCTTATAATACGAGAATTTAAAATTTATGCATATGAAATATACTTTAAGATATAAAATTATATTATAAAGTTTTCTTGAATGCTTTGCATGTAACTATTAGTAATTGCATTTATGTATGTGCATATGCATGCATGTAAAGATATAACTACAGTATTTTAGTTTCACATTAGTTTAAAATGTTCAGATATTAAGGACAAATTCTAACCCTATGCAGTTACATCTTCAGACATAGATTACGATCATTTATGATCATATACCATGATCTTTTATGCTAGCATATTTTGATGTCCTATCATTTTAATAGTGACTAGAAAGATTAATTTTTATAGCTCTTTATTTGACTACATGTATAATGTTTTCTCTTGAGATTTCCGGAAATGATTAGAGTTGATATAAATATGCTCTGTCAACTAGTATGCCTAGTTACAGGAGACGTGATGAATCAATATTCTAAAAAATCAAATCAAGAGGTATGTCTTATAACTTCTATCTATATGATGAATAAAAATTATATTAAAATTAGTATATCAAATAATTAAATTGCTATTAGGTTCCCTTATCCTTATAAGGAAAGATTGACTTAAAAAATAACTTAAACAAGAAGGGGACCTAATGTCAAACAATATGAAGGACTAATTATAAATAACTTGATAAATATATACAACGCTTGTTAGGCAAAGTTGTAAAGTCTAAAAAGAATCTTGCCGGCCCATTAACAAAGGGTCTATCCAGGAGTTTGATTCTGGATTCATCGAGGGAGATGGGGTTAAGCCCATAGATGAGGTCACTGACAGCGGCAACCCAACCCTTATTTGGAGATGTAGTCCTAATGATGGTTCAATATGGTAGAAACAAGCTAAACTAGTGACACTCGTGTGGAACATCGACCTAGATATATTTATATATCATTATAGTAGCATGTGCTACTTCCTCTTCTCTATGATGACGATGCTCTTATGATACAGCTGGTTAAGCTGAGTTTTACTCTTAACAAGTCCAACGCGTGTATTGCGAAGGGTATGATATCTAGCTGTAGTACCCTTGGAGGACTTACCTATGTGAGAGGGATACGTGATGGCCCGGGGTTTGGGGGGGGGCTGGCTACTGTTAGGTCCTTTGTTTTGATGATGATTTACAAACACCATTATTGGTGTTAATTATTTATTGAGCTATATTATAGATCACATATTATTAGCACCTTACATGGAGGATTGGATGGCATATGGGCTACAACGAGTATATCTAAAAGAGATGGAGGCAATATGATGAAGCAAAGCTATCAAGAGCACAACACTACAAGAGGCTTCATCAAAGATGAAAGCAAATATCAAGACCAAGACATTAATATTTATATATGTGAGATATTTGTATTTTACTTCTCTCTAGTGCTTAATGTAGGTAAGTTATTAAGTTGGTCACATCTAAAGCTCTTTGGATTCACACATACACTTTCCATACAAACTATTGTTTTTGAACCATTTTGGAAAAAACAACATTTTTTATGTTTGTTAAATGATTTCTCAAAATTTCCTTTTCCAATATATCACAAAACATAGTTATAAACTTTTCCCAAAGTTTCACATTTTTTTAGAATTTATTTAATTTTTTTATCTTTTTAGAATTTATTTAATTTTTTATCTATGTTTTAAGTCAGATTTTTGGACATGCACAGTGTTTGTGCATGTTCATAAGTCGACTTATCAGGTCTGATAAGTCGACTTATGAACTACTCCAGAATGTGCCAAAACTTTCTGTTAAGTCGACTTATAGGAACTGATAAGTCAACTTACAATAAGTCGACTTATGAAATTTTTAAGTCGACTTACAAAGTACTCTGGAATGTCCAAAATCTCTCTGCCAAGTCGACTCACACGAACTGTTAAGTCACTTGCACTAAGTCGACTTACGGGATTTTATAAGTCGACTTATAGGCTGAAAAAATGACTGTAACAGCTAGTTATAAGTCGACTTGTCACTGTAGCAAGTCGACTTATAACGGCTATTTTTTGGCAGCTGTTTTCTCGGGATTTTCTCATCTGTTTGAGATTTGGGCTGGGGTTTTGAGATTCTATAAATACTTAACCCCTCTCATTTCAGAACTAATGCAAGCAAGAGAAAAATCCTAAGTTTTATTTTCTAAGTGATTTGAGCTTAAATTTTCAATCTCTCATTTTCAAGTTTTTCTAAGAGTCCTTGTTTTTCATCACTTCCACACAACAATCCTTTGAGCTTTAGTTGTCCTTACTTGATCCTTGTCATAAGGAATTGTTGTGAGAGCTGCTCTTGTTCTATTGTAAGTGTGAGGTTTGTGAGATCTCGGTGGAGGTCATTGTGTAGAAGAAGTTCTGGCTTCCAAACCGGGTGTGTAGTGGATTTCTCCTTGAGAGTGGGGAGCGGGGGCGTAGGTCAGGCGGACCGAACCTCGTGAACATACTACGTGTCACCAATTGGCTAACTATTTCTATCCCTACTCTCTTTTATTATTATTGCATTTTATATTTGTGTGTGGTTTGTTGGAATAGCTTTTAATTGCACATTAATTGTCCATAGACCCTATTCACCTCCCCCACCCCCCTCTAGGGCCTTTCAATTGGTATCAGAGCAAGGTCTCTAATTTTGTTAGGCTTAAAATCCTTAGAGAAAAGATCATTATGGAGGGTTCAATGAATATACATATGCTAGAAGGTCAATCCACCACTAGGCCACCCCTCTTCACCGGT